CTTTCTTTGCTTGTGAATTTTGTTTGAATTTGATTCATGTGTGCAATTCTCATTCGTTTCGAAAATAGAGAATAGTTCTTCCAGTAAAATCGGCCTGATCTTTGCATTTCTCTTAATTTAGCAACTTGGCACCCTCCTCTGCCTTTCTACCATGGCTGCAGCTGCGCTCGGAAATCTCATCTCTGATGTAGCTGGCGTAGGCCTGGCGCACTACGTCGAAGGTTTAGTGAACAAAGTCGGTATCAAACATCCTGTACTGACTTCAGAGCAACTTGATAGCTCTAAGGTAAATTAAAGTTTACTATGCGTATTATAAAGTTAAATGCATATTCTTTTGAATTATTACTATTACAGTCTCGTTGGACAACTCATTCATCCCGTGCAATTGGTCTCTCAATCGGCTGCATTATCGGAATGTTCCCCTTGTTGTTCTTCGACAGAGACGAGGAGAAGGCCGAAAAAAAAATTTCGAAGTAGCGAGATTTCGAATGTAGCCTTTGTATAGTTTTAGATCTACTTACTCTGCTCAATTCAGTGTCAATGCCAAAAATTTGATACGAGCAATTTATTAATTTATTTTATTTTATAGGGGATGGGATCTTTGTTTTATCACTGGTGTTGCAAAATAAACGACCAGTGATTAAACAAAGATTTATTTTTAACATTTATCTCTTTCGTACAGAACTCATTTTATTGTGTCTTGGAAATCCCAGTCATTGCCATGCTATTTGCTTTGCTTAGCTCATTATGTGCTTGTGTTTATTGTAGCCTTAGCTCACTTTCAGTGCATTTACAATTCTTTGAACTCTTCAGAAGTTCTTATAGATTTTCACTCGTTCTAGTCAATTTGTACAAATTACAGTATCGTGATTATTTTAACTGCTGAGTCATATCGTTTGACCTCTGTAACTTAAATTCGTATGAGGAGAACTGTATAATAAATATGTATATAGGGAGGGAAGAAATCTTGATGTACAGGGTGAATGCCTTGGGTTACTGTATCACCAACTGCCGACATCATTCATAAAGCAAAGAACAAATAAGAAATACTTATCAGTTCAAAATGCACGCTGAAGAAAGCCGTATAACTGAGAGCCAATCATAATAATGTTTCATTTGTGAACGGCAATTCTGGATATGATTAAAGGTGATTTGTAAGCTGAGCAGAGATAATTGCAGTAAACATTGTCATCCCAATCATAGGTTTGAGAATAATTGTTACTTCAGTCATTATGTTATTTAGCTCATAGTTCAGTTGCCTTCGAATTTTTAATTTTGGCATAGTAATCTGGTAATGGTTTATACTTCTTTAACCTACTTAAGTTTTATTTAATGCGCGCTATTCATTTGTCTAGCTCCTAGAACCAATGCACTGTTTCGTTGATTTTTCGTTCACCACTCCTTGTACTAGTTTTGGTTGAAGATAAAATACCTTTTCATCTGGTAATGAATCAAATCTATAAAACTTCAAAGTGGACCGACACATGCGCTTTGATTTCACCCAGCGTGAGTCACGCAGTCCCATGCCTTCCAAAAT